CTCGTTTGTTGTCCTCTTCTCTCTCTCTGCCTACTGTTTAACGGGCAGTTCTGTTTGTGACGATATATATTGTTGTCCTTTTCTCTCTCTCTGCCTACGGTTTACCGGGCGGTTCTGTTTGTGACGATATATATATATAAGAAATTATGGCGGTGCACCTTTGCATGTTGTATGGGAAGATTCATTCTCATTTTGTGCAGTTGGTGAGTGACTCTGGAGCCAGTTCATTATGGCTGAGGAATGGGGTCTTCGTGAGTGATTCGGCTGCCGCGGCCTTACCTGGGCTTGGCCCTTCTGTTTTTTGGGGCTTTTTTGTTCGGGCTGGCCCCCTTTTCTTCTGGGTTCGTGGCCCGCGGCCGGCCTTACTTTCGAGGACATTTTGGCACGTTGGGTTGGCCTTCCTGGAGCATTCGGCGTCTTCTTTTTCCGTGCTTTGGCGGCGCCTGTTTTCCCGCCTGCCTGCTTTTCCCACCCACTTTCTCGCTATGTAACAATTTGAACGCCATGAGCACGTGTTCGCGTTAAAATTTGCATTTTAACGTCTGGTTTTTGTCTGTGCTATGTGTGGTCTGTGCTAGTATGACATTGTGTGGTTTTGGTCTGTGCTAGTATGGCATTGTGTGGTTTTGGTCCATGCCAGTATTTCTGAGTTTTGTCTGTGCTAGTATGTCTGGGTTTTGTCTGTGCTATCCCTGCTATGTCTGGTCTCTGTCTGCGCTACATTATGGTCTATGCCTTTGCTATACTGTTCTCCCCACGTTTACGTGAATATTAAGCTCAAACTCGATTTGTTTCATGCCAGGCCCTGTGTTCCGTGCTACATCTGTTCCGTGCCGTTGCCATGTCTAAACCTATACTATACTCTGCACGTGCTATGTATGACATTGTGCCAACTAATTATCAAAGTATAGGTAATACGCCGACTGATTACTTCTTTGGAATCCCTGCTCTAAGTTGCTATGGCATGTTGACATGGGAACTAAGTCTTGGGAATAGCATCCGATAGTACGGGCCCTCGCATGAAGTGTGTTGTGCTGAAGCACTTGGAGGGCAAAAGTATACCGTCGAAACTGTTGCCACTTCTTCCAAGATCCTATGGTGGTTGGGACTCCGAGGTGGTTGGTAGGTGGTTGGGATCTGGCTGGGAGAGGTGGTAGGGAGCAGGGTGAATGTGACCTGCTTTATCCTGCAGTCCTAAGTCAATGCAACCTATAGACTAAGTGCTGTGCTTATCTAAACTCTATAGGTATCAGATTCTATACAGTGTCAAACCTATAGTCTATAGCCTGGTAAGTGTTGTTCTTGTCTATTCTATAGCCTGCAGTCTTTAGTCCTAAACCGCTAGTACACGCCTGCCCCAGCCTTGCTGAAAAAAGAGACTTGTCGCCTAGTACGAGTTTTTTCCGAAAACGACGGCGCAGGCGTGCCGTTGATAAAAGAACAAATAGGTGGACTGCGTCACCTACTGGATTCTGACGGGCGCCTGAGGCCGATAGCTGGATGTACTTGTGCTTGTACTTGTGCTCTCTAAGTCTAACTCCTCTAGCGCATCGCAATGCAACCCTATAGACAAAGTGTTGTCACAGTGATTGTCTACTATTATACTAGTATTATACTCTATAGGTATCTATACAAGAGCGTCAAGCCTATACTAGCCTAATACCATAGTCTATAGGTATCTATAGCGTATTGCCCAATTTGTTGTGCTCATCTATACTATACTCTATAGTCTGCAGTCCTAAGTCCTCACAACGCATGGCAATTCAACCTCTAGACTAAGTGTTGTGCTTGTCTATACTATACTCTGTAGGTATCGAGGGACTATCAGCGGATGAAGATTTCCATCTGGGACATCGTTGTTGGCGACATCGTACACATCAGCACAGGAGATAAGGTATGAGATGACCATGATTGGAGACAGTGTCACAGGGCCTGGCCCCATTGGCACTCGGTCTGGTGCTATATATTCATGCTAGGAAAGCATGAACCTGGCCACTATTCTGGCTAGTAGGCTCATGCATCCCAAGCATGAACATAGCACCAGACTGTGGGCCCCTCCCTTTACTGCCCTCAATAAACTGGAGAATAGGAGATTCAGTGTGGAAAAGGGTGTGGATTGGGAGAAGGGCCTGAGGCTTCCCTTCCTACCCTCACTAACTAGAGAATAGGAAATTCGATGCGGAAAAGGGTGTGGATTGGGAGACGGGCCCTCCCCTTACTGCCCTCAGTAAACTGGAGAATAGGAAATTCAATGCGGAAAAGGGTGTGGATTGGGAGAAGGGCGGAGAAGAAGACCGGATAAGGTCTGACAGGGCGCTCTGTCTTATGCCAAATTGGAAAAGGAATTAAAATTTAAAATGAAAAATAAGTAGTTTTTACTATTTAGTAACTTAAAGGGTATTCTGCTTAAACCACCAGTACCTACCGCATTTTCCGTACCCCCCCCCCTCGAATGAACTTGGACAGGAGGGGCAGGCCGATTCGGCTTCCGCGTTAACAGCCACCCCAACGTGTAGGTACTCGTGGTTTAAACCACCACTCCCTCTTCATTGGCCATCCGATGGACCAACTGGAACATCAGAGAACCTATGGCTCAAATAACATCCATCTTCCCCCAAACACAACACACCCTCATCCAAAAAAAA